TGTCACTTGCTATATAGTATTGTCTCACAATGAACATGCAGAACTGCATTGCTGGAAAGCCTTGTATGTCCTAAACTCTTGAATACACACTCTATAAGATTCTATAGAAAATAGGATAACATTGTATTTTCAAAATGGAACAAATGCCTTATGTGCAAATTTAACACTAAGTTGACCAAGAGCTTCCATGCAGAGCTTTTCAGGGATTTGGATAGAACCTCAGCTAGCTGGAGGATAAAAATATCTGTCAAGTGCCTTTACATAATATGAAGCATGCTAGGTCTTGGGGCAATTTTAAAGAATGCTAGATTGTTATAGTCTATTCATAATGTTGGATTGATAATGGACAGAATATATCCAGGTTATAATCAGCAAAATAAATTTGTGTGGTTAATGTTTTGGAAAAAGACATGGCTTTATTTTTAAATGTCCTAAATATAATAACTTTGACTAACACGAAAACAAAACAGAAACATTATGAAATGCTTACCCTGATTGTCACTAGTGGAAGGCAAAGTTGGCCCTGTAAATGGAAATAATTGGAACAAATTATATTTACCTATTCACATATTCTCATACTGTGAAGAAGTGGAGATGTGGCTCACTGCTTTTGAAAATGGACCTTGATGTAGCTAATTAATGTATAAATATAGTAGCATCGCCAACCAAAGCAAAATTCACTTTGTCGAGAGCACTGTTTGTTCTTACTAAATTGCCATTGTACTTAGTTATGTAATAGTACATTATTTATATTTATCTATATTGTACATCTAACTGGAACAGAACATAAAATCATACTGCATCTACATTTTGCTACAAAATATTTCCACGCAAACCAGCTTTTACCTAAGTTTTATTTCTAAGTGTTTCTGTAGTTTAACCATGCATTTTAGGTATAAACACGTCAATGGGATCTAAATTTGGTTCTATTTTACCACTAGCTGCATTTAATTTTGGAACTGACTCATGCCACAGTGTCTTCTAACAATGAAGTCGGATTCTTCTTTGCAATTTATTACTTTCTGGGATCGTTTCATTAAATAGAAGAGTGGGCTGAACACTACTTAGAATTAAAAAGAGGAAGTACGGTAGAAGTACCCTACATATATATCAGCCACAATACAACATTTACATCTTGCAGTCCTTCTTTAAAGTGTGCCACTTCTGTTTTTATGTATGTTTAGCTTGCTTCTATTGCACATATGACCTAATTTAGTAAGGGTAAAATTATAATGATCATGTGCTTTGTGTATTAACTCAAACAATCAGATTTAGTTTTTTGTGAATATGGATTCAGTCTGCCTGCAGAGGGGTTATTCTCATTTACATGTTTCGTTATTAAATTAACCAGATAGATTTATTAAATCCATCTTTAATATTTAATGCTAGGCTATAATCCATAACATTTGCATTGTTAAATGATTAACACATCTCAGAAAAATTGAGTTCTTGTGTTCTGAAAAGTGTTCTGAAAGAAGTTAACAGGGTATTAGAGAAAAAAGGCTACAATGAAGTATACATCATATGTTAATAAACTCTAAAAGGGCAACTTGCTAATACTGCACTTATAAATGTTCACTATAATTGTCATTTATGGCAGACAGTTTTTCAAGGACAAACCTTCATAGTTTGAGATTCCCTGAGCAATTCTAGAATAGCTGTAAATTATGGAATACTAATTTATATGACCATTGTGTAATTAGCAACACCAAAGGCAAAAGCATCGGCGCTGACACACAGAGACCAACTGTAGTGCACAATGTAATCGATTCCATGGACCTTGTTTGTATGAGACCTCTGTTACTTGACTGTACAGTGGCATCAGCACTAGTAATGCATTCATTTGAGTTGACCAAGAGCTTCCATGCAGAGCTTTTCAGGGATTTGGATAGAACCTCAGCTAGCTGGAGGATAAAAATATCTGTCAAGTGCCTTTACATAATATGAAGCATGCTAGGTCTTGGGGCAATTTTAAAGAATGCTAGATTGTTACAGTCTATTCATAATGTTGGATTGATAATGGACAGAATATATCCAGGTTATAATCAGCAAAATAAATTTGTGTGGTTAATGTTTTGGAAAAAGACATGGCTTTATTTTTAAATGTCCTAAATATAATAACTTTGACTAACACGAAAACAAAACAGAAACATTATGAAATGCTTACCCTGATTGTCACTAGTGGAAGGCAAAGTTGGCCCTGTAAATGGAAATAATTGGAACAAATTATATTTACCTATTCACATATTCTCATACTTCTGAACAAGTCCTCAAAACGGTTAAACATTGTTACATCTGATTTTGGACGTTCCTGGCATTCCAACTGCTGTACTACTGTATATGTTCTGGGATGTCTTGCTGTTATATTCATAAAAGTTCATCAGTTGTGTTTCCATAAGTGGCTTGTTTCAAATTCTACTCCAATATGCTTCATTTGACAGGAATAATGAGACTGTCCTGTACTTCAGCTTTACCACTCAGGATAGACAGATAGCAAAATGCAATTTATGCTCACAACACATCCGCAAGCATAGCAGTAATATTTTGATTAACCAAACCAGGGAATAAGAACGGCAGTCTTCAGTAATGGAATAAATATATTTTCTTCATGTTTTTTTTTGTTATTAGTAATGAGTGTAATAAATAAAGAAAGAAAATATGTACAAAATCACTATGCATTCACTTTAAATGAGCTAGATATTAATTCATGTTCCCAAGAGGACACTGTTACAATACGATTGCATATGGTGTTGTATTATATTAACAATGCATATATATTAATGAATACATTACACTAAATATTATTATGCTACACATTTTTTTACACTCTATTGGTTTTATAGTCAGTATTCACACGTGCATGATGTAAGTAACAGGTATAAATGGTGCCCTGTATTCTTGAGCTACATTAATAAAATATTTTAATATTTTTTCAGTCCAGTAAATAATCATATTGCATATAAACATTATGCAGTTTTTTTTTTTATCCAGGCAGTAGGTGAAGCTCTAGGTTCCTTTCATTGCTCCCTGCCTGAGAGAATCCTGTTGTTTACAGAGATTAATAGCTCAAGGTGACATTTACACACAGAACTGGATGTATCAGAGCAGTGACTCCATCCTTATCATAAGGTTCTGTTCCAGGTTTCAGTATGAAAATTTCATTGAAATAGGTCAACACAAGGAATGCTACAAGTGGTTTCCCCAAATTCAATTAAAAATGCAACTTTTAATGACTTCCGCAATCTCAAAATTATTCAACCCTTTCATGGCAAGCATCATTAGTACTTTGTAGAGCACCCTTTTGTTTTATGACCTGCTGCAAATGAGATACACAACCAGACACCAGCTTCTGGCAGCGTTCCTGATAAATCTTAACCCATTACTCATGAGCAATGGCCACCAGTTCACTATTATTCTTGGGTTTGCGTGCTGCAACCACCTTCTTCAAATTCCACTTGTAGTTCTGGCATGGAAACCTTCTGTGATTAGTACACACCTGTGCAAACTGAAACTTCATTCCCTGTTGCCACCAAGTCTTCCTGCAGGTCTTTTGCAGTGTTAGGAAATCCTGGGAGAAATGTCATGCCCTCCTTGAGGAAGCTAAAGCTTGGGCGTCATTGGACATTCCAACAGGACAATGATCCCAAGCATACCTCAAATTCCACCAAGGCTTGGTTGCAGAAGAAGTCCTGGAAGGTTGTACAGTGGCCATCACAGTCACGTGACTTGAACATCCCATAGAAAATCTCTGGTGAAATTTGAAGAAGGTGGTTGCAGCACGCAAACCCAAGAATAATAGTGAACTGGTGGCCATTGCTCATGAGGAATGGGTTAGGATTCCTCAGGAACACTGCCAGAAGCTGGTGTCTGGTTGTGTATCTCATTTGCAGCAGGTCATAAAAACAAAAGGGTGTTCTACAAAGTACTAAAGATGCTTGCCATGAAAGGGTTGAATAATTTTGAGACTGCAGAAGTTACTAAAAGTTGCATTTCCAATTGAATTTGGGGAAACCACTTGTAGCATTCCTTGTGTTGACCTATTTCAACTGCTTTTATTTGATCTGTTTCGAAAAGCTGAAAGTCTGTAAATTTTGCCAATAAACCTGAGTTGCAAACGGGGTTGAATAATTTTGATTACAACTGTATATATACAGTATATATATTCACATTATAACATTTGTTTCAGACTAATAATCTTTATAAAAAATAGGTTGGCCCAAAAAAGATTATAGGTTTCTTTTTAGAAGATTGCCTGCATGTGTTTATCTTTTTTTGGGTGATTTCCTTTGTGTTGTTGCAAAGGACAAATTTGTATAGCATTCTGAAGTCTGTGTTGTTGCTGTACATGGATTAACTGAACAGAGTTCATGCTGTAACTGTTCATGGTACCCTATTGTGGAATGCAAAGATATTAAAAACAATTGATTTAGCATACTAAATTAAGCAGATCTAGTATACTTTGAGTAGGCTATTGTCGTCATGTAAAGCATTACCTCTATGCTTGTGGGAATATGATCTCCATTCAACCTGCTCGCCTACTGACCCGCCTTCGGTCAGCTGAACATTCTAATTCTAATCCTATTTCATAAAAGTAAAGTAAACAGCTAAATAAACAGTTGAAATATGTATTAGTTTATTGTTTTACTAGCCAAACCATTTGAAATTCTCGAGAGCCAATCTCGAAATGTATACACACCTGACACACTGTACAGTCCGGAGGCTGGCACACTTCTTTCCTGGTTCAGTGATGCAGTTTCCTTTCCCACCTTATTCACTGGACAATTAATTAGTGTCATTACCTTTGTCCTATTAGCAGGGGCATGCTTCAGGAAGCAGTAAAGCTGAACCAAGAGGTAGTAGACTGATCTACTTGGCTGTACAATGTTGTAGAGGTATGTACAGAAAATCAGAAGTTTTGCTGTAAAGAATGACAGATCCTTTGTAATATGTATCAACCAGAAAAGGAGAAAGCTTTTATTAACAATTTTCTCTGTTTATAGGGGATACATAGAGATACAGATAATTGATGATGAAGAGTATGAGAAAAACAAGAACTTCCTTATTGAACTTGGGGAGCCAGAAATGCAACGAGGAGGTAAAATAATCAAGCAAGGGGGATATATAGATCCAAGCCATGGAAAGGAGTGAAATAATTAGGTATCAAATCAAAGCCCATAAAAACTAACAGAAAAAGTCAATTCAATTATGAGTAGAAAGCTAATCGGTATAGTTTGCCTTGTACAACGTATTTAATATACTGGTCTAATTTCCTTGTCCCTGCCTAGTTGTTTGTGAGTTGCATGTGGCTTAATACAAATACATTGGATGTTTCTGCTAGCACCATTTACTTAAATGGCAATAAATTATACACTTCTTAAAATCATGATGTTATTCATAGAATTTTACTTAACATTATTAGACATGCAGTACTGTGCAAAGGTTTTAGGCGGGTGTGAAAAAATGCCGTAAAGGAAGAATGCTTTAAAAAATAATTTTATTATTTATTTTTATTAATTTACAAAATGCAAAGTGAGTGAACAGAAGAAAAATGAAAATTAAATCAGTATTTGGTGTGACTACCCTTCTGCTTCAAACCAGCATCAATTCTTACACTTGCACAAAGTCAGGGATTTTGTAGGATTAGAGTCAGGTGTATGATTAACCAATTATACCAAGCAGGTGCTAATGATCATCAATTTCATATGTAAGTTTAAAAACAGTATTTAACTGAAACAGAAACAGCTGTGTAGGAGGCTTTAAACTGGGTGAGGAACAGCCAAACTCTGCTACTACGGTGAGGTTTTGGAAGACAGTTTCATGTCACAGGTCATACATCATACCCTGTTTCCCCTAAAATAAGACCTACCCCGAAAGTAAGACCTAGCACTATTTTTCAAGATTCCTGTAATATAAGACCTACCCCAAAAATAAGACCTAGTTTGGTGGTAGCATGTGAGGGGAAACTTGAAGAGCAGGAGATATGGTATCAGCCTGCAGGGACGTACTGTATTAAGGGGATGACAGGGGACTCCCTCCGGCCAGCGCAGTGACAGGGAGTACGCCAGTACCATACTTCACCAACTGCTGTCCCCGAAGGCACTGCTTAATGTAGTAGGTACTGTACTGTAATGTGTACCGGTAAATGGTACTGTACTTTACCGCGCTGTCCACTGTCTGATGTCCCCACTGCTACCACTGCCCCTGATGGCAAAGGAAGCCGGCGCTGTAGAAAGCAAGGCTGCGGTGGCAGATCGAGCAGAGCCGCATTAGCTGATACTTCCTCTATAGCGCCGGTTACTGTGACAGGCGAAGTAATACCAGATAACTTTGGATTCTTGTACATGAATAACTTTAGATTGTTCATTTTGTTGCACATTAAAAAATAAAAATAAGACATCCACTGAAAAAAAGACCTAGGGTTTTTTTGGGGGGCAAAAAAAATATAAGACAGTGTGTTATTTTCGGGGAAACACGGTAGCAAGACTGAGCACAACAACAAGACACAAGGTAGTTATACTGCAAGGTCTCTCCCAGGCAAATATTTCAAAGCAGATTGGGGTTTCAAGATGTCTTTTGAAGAAGCACAAAGAAACGGGCAACGTTGAGGACTGTAGACACAGTGGTCGGCCAAGGGAACTTAATGCAGCAGATGAAAGACACATCATGCTTACTTCCCTTCGACATCAGAAGATGTCCAGCAGTGCCATCAGCACCAAACTGGCGAAAACCAGTGGGACCCAGGTTCACCCATCTACTGTCTGGAGATGTCTGGCCTGAAGTCTTCATGGAAGAACTGTGGCCAGAAAGCCATACCTCTGACGTGGAAACAAGCCTAAGCAACTCAACTATGCACGAAAACATAGGAACTGGGGTGCAGCAAAATGCCAGCAGGTGCTCTGGACTGATCAGTCAAAATGTTAAATACTTGGCTGAAGCAGGAGGCAGTTTGTTCGCCAAAGGGCTGGAGAGAGGTACAATAATGAGTGTCTGCAGGCAACAGTGAAGCATTGTAGAAGTTCCTTGCAAGTCTGGGGCTGCATTTCTGCAAATGGAGTTGGAGATTTAGTCAGGATCAATGGTGTCTTAATGCTGAGAAATACAAACAGATACTTATCCATCATGCCATACCATTAGGGAGTCGTGTGATTGGTCTCAAATTTATTCTGCAGTAGGACAACGACCCTAATCATACAGCCAATGTCATTAAGAACTAACTTCAGCATAAAGAAGATCAAGAAGTCCTGGAAGTGATGGTTTAGCCCCCACAGAGCCCTGATCATCGAGTCTTGAGGCAGTCTACATCCACAGAAGATCTGTGGTTAGTTCTCCAAGATGTTTGGAACAACCTACCTGCCGAGTTCCTTCAAAAACTGTGTGCAAGTGTACCTAGAATATTTGATGCTGTTTTGAAGGCAAATGTTAATTTAGTTTGAATTTCTCGTGTGATCATATATTTTCCATTTTGTTAATTGATAAAAATAAACTATTAACACTTTTATTTCTGAAAGCATTCTTACTTTGCAGCATTTTATAACACCTGCCTAAAACCTGTTTGCACACTACTGTATGTTAGAAAACTGGTTCACAATCACCTGTTATATATGTTCACAAGCAGGCAGTGGACTCCAAGTCTAATCCCCCTTTTCTCTATATAGGGGAGTCTGGAGAAAAATGGGTGGTGTGCACCAAAAGTGGTGAAGAGATTGCTGGAAGTCCCAGCTTAGGGGAGCACAGCAAGATGGAAGTGATCATTGAAGAATCTTATGAATTCAAGGTGAGAAATATTGAGTTGAGGAACGGCATGAGTGCAATCGGTATTTCATTTACTACAGGGATGATTCAAAAAGCACTGCACTGCAGCCATACTGCTTTAATCATCAAAAAAGCATCAGGCACACTGATTTGCTTTACAAATGTACATTGTGGTCTGCTGGCTTTGGAAGTCTGAAGCCTGGGGAGTGCAATAAATGTAAATGGGAGAAGTAGGAAAAGTCACATGACCAACTCTCCATTTCTGGAACTGTTTCTGCTGCATTAAGCAGATATAAATCTGTGGGGCACCACTGGCTTCACACTGAGGCCCATATTTTATGAATGGGCTGTCAAATGGTGCTGCCGTGTGTATAGTTAAGTGGAGTATACCGGAGTGGATAAGGTTATCTGCTCTCCAATTGAAATATGTCTCTAAAAGTCTTCAAATGTCTGTACTCCTTTCACTGTTGCCATCATTGTTTGACCAGTACTTTGATCACACTGTGCTGTCACCATGTTCTCTGCCTGCCTTGGCCTTTTGAGTCTATGTTGTGATTTTGCCATGTACCCCCTTTCCCGTTTTGCAGTTTCTTCTGTTTAGCATATTGTAATCATGACAGATATTCATCCTCCTTTCTCATTGTACCTGGTGATGCTGAAATAATATCCCAGTCTGTAACCTTTACATTGCGTTATACTTAACCTGTACTCCTTTGCTTTGCACATAGAACACAGTAGACAAGTTGATTAAGAAGGCAAATTTGGCTTTGGTTGTTGGAAGCAGCAGCTGGAGAGAACAGTTTGTCAGTGCAGTCACAGTCAGTGCAGGTAAGCATGTAATGTATATTGTCTGCATGTTAATCTCTCAGTACAAAATGCCCTTTATCACACAAACAAATGTCATACACAATAAGCCATGCTTATTTTAGTGCACAAGATACCTTGACACATTAATGATATGATATACACTAACTGCTAATATGCTTACTATCTTTTGCACCAGTAATCTACACCCACACGTGCTTTTTCACTAGTATCCCGCATCCATGCCACTAACTTCTTTCCCTTTTCCTTACCACTCTTCCTACTGGCATGCTACTACCGCACTGCTTTATTTTTTTCCAAACCCTGAGTTTCTCCTTTCCTCCTCTTCTTTTTCATTTTTCCTTTTGTATTGTTTTTTGTCTTCTTTTTCCACCACTTTTCTATCCTATTATGCCCCGTCTTCCCTTTCTGCATGTTCCATCCTGGGCAGGAGATGATGATGATGAGGAGAGCAGTGAGGAAGGGCTGCCCAGTTGCTGTGACTACATCATGCATTTCCTGACCGTCTTCTGGAAGGTTCTCTTTGCCTTTGTGCCCCCCACTGAGTACTGGGGGGGCTGGGCCTGCTTTCTGGTCTCCATCTGCATCATTGGGATCCTCACTGCTGTCACTGGCGACCTGGCTGCACACTTTGGCTGCACTGTTGGGCTGAAAGACTCCGTCACCGCTGTGGTCTTTGTTGCTTTGGGTACATCTGTGCCAGGTATGGACTGTACTGTCATTTGGAAATGTGTTGATGCTGATTTATTGTGGTGGCAATGGGGGTTGTTTTTGACTGTTCAATAAGGTAACCATGAACACAAAAATGTAACAGGTTTTCTGCTTTACTTGTTTCCAAGTAAAGCAGGTGGCTGCACTACAATTTACACAGAGGCCAGTCAGTAGTATGTGATAAGGAGGGAGCATGTTCTGATCCCTGATTACATGCAGTCTGTTCTTTCTGTGATTGGTTCTTATATCATAAACAATGCAGTTTACAAATGCCAGAAAGTGTGAGCATTATTAGTAATCCTAGCTGTTTCAATTATAAACACACAATTGATACTTTCTAGGCCCTGGCATGTGTTGCCACGTACAGTAACACTAAACTCAGGAGTTAAACCTTAAAAATGCATTCAAATACCTTAACTATTTACAATGCTGTGTCTTTTTTGTGTATCACTCAGCTGTAGATCCTCAAATAATTTCTAAATTCATGCTGACACTGTCCTTCCTTCTGGAGGGTGGCTACCTTTGTTCCCTATGTTCCCTGTGTGTGTTGTAAAGTAGCCACTGCTCCAAGCTTGCTCCCGTGATGGACTACAGTCTCAGTACAAATGAGTAAACTTAATGTGAGATTATAGTCATCACAAGAGTGAGCTTGGAGCGGTGGCTACTTCAACAGCAAAACACTAAACTTAAAATGGTTAGAGTATTTTAGAGTATTAGAGTATTGCATAATGCCCTTTAATATTGAACAGATAAAGTACAACTGTTATTGTGATCAAATTATAGCAGTTTGATATTGTAGTCTTGTCCTAGTTTAAACTTCTAGGTTGGAAATACCAAAATTGTATGCTGTTCTTGAAGGATTTAAGAAGTCAATATTATGACATAGCAGGGTGATTGAAATGACAACAACCAGACAGGATTGCAAGACTCCAGGAGGATTATTTATGACCTCCGCTTTGAGTAAAGAAAATCCATAAACCTTATTGGATTGCATGAGTTGTTAATGATTTGGCACATATATTGCATAAGAAAATTTCAAGATACAAGGTACAAGATAAAATAGGTATCATTGACTTGTGTGGTACCCAATCTAATTTTTAATGTATGACTCTTTGTAAAAGTTCCCAAGTCAGAAGCTGCTAGAAAGCCCTGTATGCCATTCCCCTCTCTCCAAACACCATGTGCCTCATTTTAGCTTGTCTACAGCCCAAGAGTATTGATGATGTTACTTCCATTGATCTGTGCAGTTGGGTACCTAGTATATTTAATTTCCCAGCAGATACATTTTTATAAACAGACACTTCTATTAAATTCATTTATTTGTAATAATATTTTTATTAAAAAAAAAAATTATGATAACCCAAAAAAATTAAGACAGTCATTGTCATGTCCCCTTACTTTGGTGGTCAGTGGAGAAACAGCCCCTTACAATTTTGTGTATCCCTCAACAGTGACTTGCAAAGGTATTCACTCTCTTGAAACTTTTTCTGTTTTCCTGCATTCAAAAACTTGGAATTCTGGGGGGTTTGTGTCATGCGAAGTACACAACATACCTACAACTTTGTAGGTACAAAATAATTATATTGTGTTATTGTGATACAAACAATAATTAA